AATTTGAGATATTCTCGGATTTTCGCTGATATTCTCCGAGATAATCGACTAATCAGATCCTCAATAGTTCTCCATTATGATTTCTGATATTACGAACCATTGTTACAGGGAATTAGGCATCTTTCAACGTCAGAAATTATAATTGTTATTACGATTTTCTATTGTTTTTCAATCACACTCAAACAATCGCAGAAAATTGCCTATAGCAATTGACTAGAGCATTTTCTTGGAATAGGATAATCTGCAATATATCCCGAAAATATGTAGCGAATAACGGACTTGATCGGTTCGTCATTTCCTCGGAACCAATTGACTTTTGGAATCATTTTTGAATTGTAAATCGTTGATATTCTCACGAATTTGACACGCCGTTATATTGAGTGAGAGTTTATTATATTAAAATATCATGCATTTCTTGCGCGATTACTCTTACAACAGATGTAGAGGTTGTTCGAGAACACGGTGATTCTCAATTCTTTGTGAAAACAATCACGAGAGACTATGCTCCGTTTACTTCAGGCCAACGGTGCTCGTCAGTGCAGACGGAAGACGAGTGGAGGCAGCGTGCAGGAAACAATTGCAAGGAAAATGGACTACATCAGCGATGAAACTAAGCAACGGATATCATACACCGAAAGCTAAGTTCTTTGCTCTCAGTTTTTTAAAGTTTTCGCTAGAGGGTTAGTGCTAAGGGGGGGGAGGGGGCGGGGGTAGGCTATGTGAGCTTCTGTTCAAAGAGGTTAAGTGAGGGGGGAGGGAATTTCTGGCCCGGGGGATTTCATCATAGTGGTGGTTTGTTGCTTTGTAGTTAAGTACTTACTCCTTCCCGCCACTACCTGATGAAGCATGACTGGGGTATCCTGTGGTGGCTTAGTTTAGGTATTAGGTTGGAGCATTGATCGGGTAGAAGGGACTGACTATATTTGGGTATCACCCTTCTGGCGTCACCTAAAGCAAAAGTTTTCTTAAATAAACCTAGAAAACATCAAGTTTTCACAATAAAAAATGAATGTAAAGAAAACGGCAATTTTCCAATTGGCAAAAAGTAGCATATTTCAACGTTAAAAAAGTCAATCTCTGCAATAGGTTGAAGCTGGCGTTGCTGTTCGGTTCAGAAAATTGTAAGAAACATGAAAATATCAAATGAATTCGATCTCATCAAACAGTTTTCGGCATGATTTAGCGAAAAATTATATTTATTTCCTCAAAACTATGAAAGGCGATCAGATGTGAAATCCAACCTCCAAAATCAAACAATTCTATAATGAATGACCAGCAAAAGAATATTCCTCTGCGTACATCTCATCCCAAATGGGTTTGATGGAAACATTAAAAAGAGCCAGTTCTCTAACACAGTGGAAAAAATGCAAAAACATTTGAAAGAATATAGGGGAGATTAAAGAGAGATCAATTTTTTATTGTCGCATGTCATATCAGCTCTTCGAGATCTCCTCACTGACGTTTTTCAAGCAAACCGTTCTGGCCACGCTTCGAGCTGTCAAGCCCATTTTTTAATGTTCATTGANGGACATTTGGGCATATTGTTATGTATGAAAGGAGTCATAGGGCGATTAGCATGCCAGCTCCTGCGCCGGGAATGAGAATTGTTTGAAATTTTCAAACAATTGGTTGCTTGAAATTAGGTTAAGGCGACGTGTAACTGGCATTTTGATAACCAGATATTACAGAAGGTCGCATCCGGAATCCGGTTAAAGAATTCCGAAGACTCCACTCAATGGAGTTAGGTGAGCGAACTCATCGGCGCTTTTCTGCCTATGAGAAGCAGTCATGTAGTTACTGTAATCATATGGCAAAAGCTGAACGTGGTCAACCTGGGGAGCTTGAAAAACTTAAGTGAATTAAACTCAAAGAGCTGATTGGAAAGGGGATCGTTATTCAATTTGTTTTCGAGTATATCAATGAAGTTTGTCGGTAATCAGAGCAAGGAACTCTGAAATGAAAAGTGTTTAGGGAACTGGCCTTTATAGATGTTGGACTTTCGAATAAAATCATTTGCTTACATATAATCGGATTAACTCAATCCCTTAAGCTATTGGATTTTCACATTTGCAATCGCGAAATTTATTGTAGAATAAATACACTTTAAGAAAATAAAATATGACCAGCAACGCCAGCTTATGGAAATCTTTAAAGTGGTTTAGAAACAAAAGGAAGGGTTGGATAATAATGGTGAGGTGATTCCAGAAGGGTGGTACCACGTTAAAAGTTCCTTCTACTCGGTCATTGTTTCTTCCTAGTATCTACACTAAGTGATCACAAGGTACCTCAGCTCAGCTTACAGGGAGTGGGGCTGGTGCGGAGGCCTTCTTATTTCTTATTTATTCTTGTTCTTATATTATCCACCACATCCCATTCCAGGGGGGCAAAATTCATTTAACTTCTCTGAACAGAAGCTCAAGGGGATAATATTAGGTTACGAGGTTACGAGTGACTAAGTTTAGAGGGGATAACGGGGATAAGTTTAGCGGACTGGGTGGGATTTAGCGTNAGATAGCTTTAGTTTAGAATTGTTAACTTAACATAGATATTTAAAAAAACTACTAGATGATGCTGCAGAGTCAATTTTCAGGAGTGTTCGAAATCAGTTTGGGTAACGTAATGCAAACTAGAAAGCGAAAATATGGAAGCGCACAACGAATACGACACAGTACTAATGGACAATGATGCGGAAGAAGATTCCAAGAATTTTGCGATCATGTGATCATATATTGTGATATAATGTAATGTAATGGACGCATTAATCATATTAATTGTCGTGAAACCCTCATAACTCTCTGCGAAGAGTGTGAGGGATGAATAAAGATTAACGTGTTGTTAAGTTCTGACGAAAGAGCTGGTTTTATAGCTCTTTCGTGTGATGCCTTTCGGTTGGGCAGAGTTAGGCGAGGCATTTTTTTCGGTGGTTGAGCTTTGAGGGTTTTGGATGGCTTTCCAGTAGCTAGTATTCTCTTCAATGGGTGGGTGCCTCGCCACTCTGACATCGGTAGCAACCTACCTACTCTTGCACTTTTTGGTGTGGGTTGTCGGTAGCTGCAGGCCGAAACCAACCGAGAGGTATCTTACAGGCCAGTTGTTTCGCGAAACGGAGATCGGCACCCGTCTAGCGAACAACTTGGCCTTTTTCCCTCCTGTCTGAAAATGAAAATTCGGAAGGGTCATGACGCTCGATGCCTTGACATTTCAAATTCGCGCGTTTTTTAGGTGCATTTGAAAATTCAATAAGTTCAGGTTGCGAACCGAATTTTACTGCTTCTGATTGCAGAACGAGGATGCTGAAAAAGTCATTGAGTTCGTTCTTCTTGTTAAAAGTTGATAATTTAAACGTCTCACCTCGTTTCACCACTACGTGAAACAATTAAAACGCTAATTATTCATGAGAAAATGGTTTAGATCTATGTCACTCCATCGAATTTAATCGAACTCAACAAGGAGGACGCAAATGTTCGAAGTGAATTGATAAATCGTGAAAATCGTCAAAAAATTCGACTAGAAAGATTTCGTAGCATGCTCATTCGATTATTCAGTTGTTGGACAGGATATTGAGTGTTTCACATCCGAGTGTGCTTTCGAATGTCCGTCATGAACTTTGCTTCGCAATGACGTTCAATTCTCAGCGACTTCTTTAACATGATTAATAACTTATATCGATCAAATTAGCCGTTTTCCTCAGTGAAATGAATCAGAAGTCGGAGTTTTTCAGTGTTCATGGTGTGATCGGGTTCTTGAATCGAGCCAAATTCAGTAATTGTTGTGTGGTTGTGTTCGATTTAGGGCAAATTATTCTGTCAAGTTCCAATGAACTTCTTCGTTGAAATATGCAATTTGTCACTTCGACCATATTTTTATCACAGTTCTCAGGAAATCTAAACCAATTTTTCATCTTACGATTAGCAATCGCGGTTTATCACGTTTATCCACTGTAGAACTCCGTATAATCTCGTTTATCATCGCGATCTTAAATAGTATTACCCATGTGCTTTCTTCTTCGATGCGATACTGCCGGATATCATCACATTTCTGTGCGCACTTTTGGATGGATTCACTCGATCAGTGTCGTTGATTGCATCAGATTTCTTCGTCTCTTTTCAGTAATTTCAATTTTGAACTGTTACTCAAATCATGGCGAGTGAAGAGTCGACAAGATCGATCAGTCCCGACGTAAATCTTTCAGATGGTTCGGCAAGCAAAGACGAAACCATGACTACTTCTCAGGTTATTTCTCATTCCTGTTCAGTAATTTATTCACCAGCTCTTCCCCTGTTAAATGAAGCTTGCTACCTTATCAGTTTGCTGTCCAAGTACGGAAATGACCGATTCTAGATGAAGATTAGATTGCAATCATAGAATTAATAGTGTGCTTCATGCACCGACTGATATCTTTATAAGGACCATGTAAGATGTAAGTGTGTAGTAGATTATTTTTTTCAACTCCTGATAAGTTATGAACTAGCCGATTCAGAAGTAGTTTCGAAGGTCTTAGTATGAGCATTTGCGGAATTGTCAAGGTGATTGTTGATTTATTGCGGTTAGCATTGAGGGAAGTAGTGCGGTCGTAAATGCATGTACGAGTGGAATTTTAAGATTGTTGAATCGTTTGATCATAGTTTGAATCATTGATGAATCATAATCTATCTTGATGTGATCATAGTTTCAGACTGGCGAGAGCAGTCTTTTATTAGAACATCCACTGAAGGAACGATGGACGTATTGGTATTTAAATGATCAGAGGGAAAAGAATTGGGAGAAGCGATTGAAAAAAGTTTGCACGTTCAGTACCGTTGAGCAGTTTTGGGGGTAAGTTGTTGATTCTACATAAATCAAATTGAAATTTGCTGAATGTCTGGAGAAATACATATTTCGAATGTTCACAAGTTCGATTTAAGTATGTTTCAAGTTTGATTTATTCAGTTTAGCAATCATTCGGTTCTTATATTTTAATATGCATAATCGGAATAATTTTGAATGAAATATTGTCNCCGTCAATGTTACATAACTCTTGTGATTATAATGTTTTCAAAGAGAATATTCAGCCGATGTGGGAGGTGCCAGAGAATGCAAACGGTGGTCGTTGGCTTATCACTGTTAGTGATTCATTTTTCAAAATTCATTCCACAAATCAATTTCTTTATCATTCATAATAATGGCTTAAGCTATGTGAATTTCTGTTATTAATTCGTAGATCAATGCATGCGTGTAAGATGAATCTAACGATTGTTGTCGTACAGATTGATAAGTCGCGCCATCAAGATCTGTTAGATGTGATATGGCTTGAAGTTTTATTGGCCGTGATTGGAGGTCAGTTCGGGAAGTATACAGAAGATATTTGTGGAATCGTTGTGAATATTAGAAATAAAGGTTCAAAGGTAAATTTTCGTAGATTTTTTTCGCTCATCTTTTGACTTTTGTTTCATGGAATTATATCTTTGAAATTTCAGATCAGTATATGGACAACTAATGCAAATAATGATGACTCAAATCGTAAAATTGGGTAATTTATTTTTTTAGTTTGATTTCTTTCCGTTTATCTAAGGAATTTTTCAGAATATGTTTTGAAATTGTTTTCATTTTTGGAAAGAACGATAATTGCCCTCCTCAGGGATTACTTAGTAATAATGATGAAAAATGATAGCAACAGTTACGAACGTTCTGATAAATGGAGAAAAGCGAAAACTTTCCACACATCAAATAACTAACAATCGGAGAATTTTGCTGTGTAGTTGAATTTTTCGAAATTTTTAGCTGGTTTTTCATCGCTTTGCTTNNTTGAATGAACATGAGTAATAATGATTTTCGTTTTTTTAGAGAGATTCTGAAACAAAAATTAGTAAATCCCGATATTGATTCGAAAATCACTCGACCTTTATTTGATGTATTGCGTTATGAGGACCATCAAGAGGTGCAAAACAAGAGTTCGAGCAGTGTGCGAGCAAAATTTACAATTTTATCACAAGACTGATTAATGGAATTGGAATTAAATTCATTTGATTTGAAGAGGGTGGAAGAAAAAAGAAGAAGATATTATTTATCTTTTTTATTTCATTACTTTGATTGATTTGAATTGTTTTCATTTCATTTCATTTCAAATTAATTGTTCAAGTATTATAAATGTTTTTTGTTTTGTTGTCTTATGTTCTTGAAAAGAATGCAATGAATATATTATATTTATAAGAGTTGAGAATCAGTGAATCTATTTTATTGATTAATATCAGTTTTGTTTTGTTCTGTTCTGTTTTTGTTGCTTTGCTTTTTGCAATTGCTCAAGCTCAACGCATGCGTCAACTAAAACTAGAAATACTTTAGTATGAAGGAATAAATTATCGTCAGCAATATAGTCGTTCACATGGAAGTTCGAAGCTGTTCATTTTTTGGAAAACCAAGTGAATAATCGATCATTACAATGAGGATGTCTCAAGTGATCTTTGGAGAAATGCTTCGATTTGTTGTCAAATGAATGAATCATTGAGAAGTTTTTTGATGAGAAAAGAACGATGAATAGTGTTTGTGTAAAAAATGTCTGAATAGAATAAATTGTGTAATGGATGGGACGGAATATATGCTTTTTAATGCAATCAAATTTATGAAGCCTTATTTGCTATTCGTCGCTTGATTGTACAAGCTTAATGAAGAGTTGGAATTGATAAATTGAAGAGGTGTAGGTAGAATTGATAGGGGAAATTTTCGATTTTGAGGTGATAATTTTGTGAGTTATCTTTATGATTTGTTGTGTTGTTATTGTTATCGTATTTATGTCATTCATTATGGTGAACCGTTTTTTTTTTGTTTGTTTGTTTCTGTTGAAAAGATATATTGTTTCGGTAGTTGTTCAATTTTGTTATTGTTATTAATACAATTGTTTCTTGATTTTCCATTTCTCGTTATTGTTATTATTGGAATCATTTTGATCATTGTAACTGTATCAAATCCTCTGTAAGGCATTGTTCTCCATAATGAATGATATATGCGTACTGGAGAAAAATATATGATAAATTGTTTGGCGGAAATAAATTTGATTGTGTTGACTGGTGGTCGTTTCAAACCGAACGCAAAACAAAATCTGAAATCATGTCAGGAAACATGTCACCGAAGCGACGAAATCGATGAGTGAGGAGTGTGAACAATGAAATTTTGATTGGGATTTAGATTGTTTGAAGAAGCAATTAAGGTTAGGATGAAACTTGAGTGTATAGGAGACGGATGAAAGATCACTGCAATATCGGCATTGAAATATGTTCCTAGAAGTCTACTGCTTATGGACAGTTTTATGATGCTCCCTTAGCAATTAACTCAGCA